CGATGGCTATGAAATGAAGATCGCTGTCATTTTATATGTAAAATTATATGGGAAATGTCATCGATCGTCATTTCCAAGTCAACTGGACGCCGTTTTTTTTTTCGATCATACGGTATATCTATTATTATAGGAAATGTTATAAGTTGTATTTTTTAGATTCAAGAATGGATTGGGACCGAGTTAGATCCTTTACAATATGGATGGAAGAAAGATCAATAAGGCAATCTGACACCTATTCAATCAACAAAAGATGTGGCGCCTCATGACCAACTAAAATTAATTTTTTGCAATTGCAAAGAGAGTCATGCTCTAATAATTGCTCTTGTAGAAAACTGGGTCTTAAATGTTCTTCAAAGTGTGCTTAGTGCTACGGAATCAGTTGCACAAACTTTTGTATTTTAGTTGAGGACAAAAATGACGCTCAGGATGACGACATAGCAGATTTCGTTTAATAACTTTAGTTTAATAATAATTTTTTTAACAATAATTATTTTATTTAATAAATAATATTTAAACGTTATATTTAACGATATATAATAATATTAAACGTCATATATTATATAAAATCGTTATTTTTAATTGTTATAATGCTTAAATTTATACTTGGTTATCTAATTAACCAAAAACTTACTGTTAACCTTTCCGTGCGGAGTATTTTAGGTACCCCAGATGCATTTTTTCTTTAATAACTTTTACAATTTTTATTTCTCGCATTTTTCCTATCAGGTAATCCTAGAATATATATTACAAAACCCTTTTTTATCAAAAATAGCCAAATATTTTTTTTATTTTCGGCGAAAAACTGAAATTTACTGCCTGGTGTACCTCCGTTACCCCGCATAGCCTCCAGTGATTCGAAGTTCTACACGCACTATTCATAATTTTTCGTGTTGGTCACTTTGTATGAAGACGTAAACAAGTTCTATATCCAGTTTAGTATTGGTATTTACTGTGATGTAGTAAGTTATAGTGTGTATTTATTGGAAAATGGCGCAAAAGGAATATACTGATGATGGGCTAATAAAAAAGAAATTCCTGCCGAATTCGCTTCGAGAGCTGCGAAGAGCATTCCTTCAGCACAAGGACTTGTACTTCTAAACGTTCTGAGAAGTAAATAGAATGGTAACAAGTTTCACAAAACTGTAAAAACAGCAATAAAATTAGTTCTTGCCAAAAGCACAGTTCCTATAAATCCTGCTAAAGAGATTCAACCTAATTCAAACCGAAGATGCGGCTTTTGCCCCAAATCACGTAAGAGAAAAACCAACATATTATTTAATACATGCAAAAACCCCATTTTTAATATTCTCGGCAAAGAATGTACTCTGACTGCCAAAATAATGTGTAGAAAACTAATAAGAGTTTAGTTTTAAAATTAAATGTTTTTTTATATTAAACAAATACAAAATATTTAAATTATTGACGTTTTATTATTAAATTTTACAAATAATTACTAATAATTTACCTGAGTGACAAAATATGAATAGTTTTTGAAATATTTCAGTGGGGTATCGTAGTTACCCCACACGGCCTGAAACTTTTTGTAGCACGGTTCCGGAAAGGTTAACGCAAAATTTAAAGCTGATTGGTTTAAAAACACAAATTTATAAAACGTATAGTAAAAATTGCTTTATCTCTATTACTATTTATTTTAGATAAAAAATGATTGAAGGTAAAATATACTAAATTTAATTCTCTACAAAAAACATATCTTTAGTTTTTTCGGAAAAAGTTATGCAAACAGAGATATTTAAAAAAAAACGAAAAAATCCAAGATGGCGGCGGTTTTTTTCAAACTTCCCCCACTGGGACTGAATGGGACTTTTGAGGGGTTAAATAGGAGATCATTATCTACACATTCCCGTTGAGATCGGTTGGTTACTAATTTTTTCCACCTCAACCTCCAGATTGACTGGCCTAGTATGTAAGTTATACTCCGGAGAGCACTTCCTTTGATAAACCGAGTGCAACATACAGAAACATTGTAACATATGGCTTTAGGCTTAACATATTTTTAGATGTCTTTTGTTTTAAATTATTAGTTGTAGCTCTTTGTCTAACGTCCAAATGGCAACGGTAAATACGCTGAAAACTATTTCTTGGGGCTTTGGAAGCAAGTGGAAATGTTCGTTTTATTCTCCAAGATTCTTTGGTAAGTGATTGGAGCTTATCAAACCATTCCTGTCAGAGAAAAAATTCGTTACTAAACTTGATGTCCAACTTTACTGTTATTTAAGCTTTTTCCTCTTTTTAGGTAAATTCAGAGGTAGATTTAAATAAAAAAAATAATTCCTTCTTGACTCATTATACATAAAAAAGTAATGTAAAGTAAGTATTGTAAACAATAATCATATAATACTAGAAATTGTATATATATATATATATATATATATATATATATATATATATATATATATATATATATATATATATATATATATATATATATATATATATATATATATATATATATATATATATATATGAAAACAAAATTCTTACAGCTTTAGTGTATATTAATAAATAATATTTTCTTTTGTGTATATTAATAAATAATATTTTCCTTTAGCTGTGTATTTTTTCTAATTTCGAAAAATCGAAAGTAAAAAAAAAAAATTTTTAAAAGAGTAAAAAGTAAAAAGAAAATTGTTTTGCTTGTCGTAAAGGGGGGAACCAAGCTCCACTCCCACAACCGGTTTCTGGTCCACCATCTTTTGACGGGAGATTTTTTACGACATCGTCTGTTGATATAGAAGAAGTTTTGCTTGCCGTATCAGTGAGACCAGCCCCTGGACAGCCCACCTGATGAAGGGTAGGCCCAGAAACCGGTTGTGGGAGTGGAGCTTGGTTCCCCCCTTTACGACAAGCAAAACAATTTTCTTTTTACTTTTTATTCTTTTAAATTTTTTTTTTTACTTTCGATTTTTCGAAATTAGAAAAAATACACAGCTAAAGGCAAGAAAATATTATTTATATATATATATATATATATATATATATATATATATATATATATATATATATATATATATATATATATATATATATATATATATATATTTTTTTTATTCATTCGTTTAGATATGTCATTCGTATATTGATATCATTGTGTTGTTTGCCGGTTGATGATGATTTTTTGCAGGTTCGGGTCTCAACCAGAGGCCTAAGAACTCCGCAAGTGTTTGCGTAATATTTGCGCTGTCCCAAAGATCGCTGTTTTCTGAGCTGGGCGGTGCTTAACTCCATGATCTCGAGGTCAATAAGGTGTTTCCCCAAATTCGACGTGATGGCTCCCATGGTCCTATGACAATTGGGATGACTGAGAATGGTTTTCTCCATAGGCAGGTCATTTCTCTTCCTAGCTCCTGGTATTTATTGATTTTTTCGATCTCCTTATCTCTCACTCGGGGTCTCCAGGGATGGCTATGTCTATTATATTGATGGTTTCTTGGGTTATCACCACGATGTCCGGCGTATTGTGTTCAATTCGTCTGTCAGTCTGGATTCGAAGTCCCAAAGTATTTTTCCCCTATCGTTTTCAACCACCTTCCCTGGGTAGTGGTTGTACCAGTTTTTCTTTACTGGGGCGCCGATGTTTTTGCAGATGTTCCAATGGATCATGCTGGCTACGTTATCGTGTCTTTTCTTATATTCCGTTTGTGCGATCTTACTGCATCCTGACACTAGGTGGTCAATGGTCTGATCTTTATCTCTACAGATTCTACATTTTGGATCATCTGTCGTTTTGTGTACTCTGTATTTAATTGCATTTGTTGTGAAGGCTTGATCTTGTGCTGCAAAGATGGCTGCTTCTATTTCTTTACGGGTTGTCCCATTCGATATCCATTGGTATGATTTTTTATCATCTGCGTTTTCTTTAATATTTCTTGCGTAACTACCGTGGAGGGGTTTATTATTCCAGTTTGCTATTCTAGCTGATATAATCTTTTGTTTGTATATTTTCTTGTTGTCCTCTTTTACATTTAAGATATTTTCTTTTAATATCTCACGGATTAGTTTCTCACGACTTGTTTTGAGATATTGGCTTAGGGCTTATTTCTCCTCCTCCACAGTTTGTAACACTTGGACAAGTCCTCTTCCTCCTATTCGTCGCGAAATGTAAAGCCTGTCGATATTACTCTTGGGATGCAATTCTTGGTGCATTGTCATGATTTTTCTTGTTCTTTTATCAAGTTCTTCAAGTTCTGCTTGTGTCCAATTTATTATTCCTGCAGTGTATCTTATGACCGGAACTGCCCAAGTATTTATGGCTTTGATACTATTTCCTCCATTCAATTTGGTTTTTAATATTTTTCTAACCCTTTTCAGATATTCTTGGCGACTAGATGCTTTAACCTCTTCGTGCAAGAGATCGGCCGCTTCGAGAATTCCCAAGTATCGGTATTTATGGTCTGGGCCTAGGTTCTTGATTATGTCTCCATTCTCGAACTCGATTCCCTCTGATTCTATGAGCTTTCCTCTTCGTAAAGTCATTGTCGCACATTTGTCTAATCCAAACTGCATTCCAATGTCCTCGCTGAATATCCGGACCGTGTTCAGCAGCGATTCAATGCCTCCTCGATTTCCAGCGTACAGCTTGAGATCATCCATGTATAGGAGGTGGTTGATCTTTCCAGCTCGCCCTGATACCTGATAGCCCACCTTGGATTTGTTGAGCAGAGTTGTCAAAGGGAAAAGAGCCGTCGTGAAAAGCAGCGGAGAGAGAGAATCTCCGTGGAAAATTCCTCTTTTGATCTTTAACTGGCCATAGTCTTGTCCTCCAACATACAGATTGGTTCTCCATGAGTCCATGCCCTTGGATATAAACGTTGTTATTTTATTACTATTCTTTTTATTATTCCCGGATCCAGCTATGCGGTAGAGAATCGAAAGCTTTTCTATAATCTATCCAAGCCATATGCAGGTTTGTTTGCTTTCTTCTGCAGTTTTTTAATACCATCTTGTCGATTAATAGTTGATCCTTTGTACCTCTGGTTTGTTTACAGCTTCCTTTTTGTTCCACTGGGTATAGGTTGTTTGTTGTTAGGTGTGCATATATTGCCTCCTAATATACCCGTCAGCACTTTAAATGTCGTTGGAAGACACGTGATTGGTCTGTAATTGCTTGGAATTGCACCTTTTTGGGGATCTTTCATGATAAGAAACGTTTTTCCTAAGGTTAGCCATTGGTAGTCTGTTGGGTCGTCCAATACAGTGTTGAATTGTCCTGCAAGTCTTTCATGTAGTTTTGTTAGGTGCTTCAGCCAGTAGCCATGTATTTCATCTGGTCCTGGGGTGCTCCAGTTCTTAGATTTTCTAGCCTGCTTCTTAACTAGTTCTGTGGTGATCTGGAACTCTGGCATTTTTGGGGTTTTCATTTGTTTTTTGGTGTCCTTAATCCATTTTGCTTCTCCGTTGTGTTTAGTGCTGTTATCCCATATGTCTCTCCAGAACCCGTATGTGGCTTCTTTGTCTGGCAGGTTTTGTTTGCCTGTGTTGGAGTTTTCTAATGACTTGTAAAATCTTTTTTGGTCTGTTTTAAAAAGCTGATTCTGTCTATACTGGACAATTCGTCGCTCGTATCTTTCGATCTTGTTTGCTGTTGCCATTATGCGCTGCTTAAGTTCTTCCATTACTGTGGGTATGCGCTTTTCCGCCATTTTATATTTGTGCCATAGGTAATCTTTTTTCCTTTGGTCATTCAGTTTTCCGTCTTTCCACTTTTTAATGCAACTTAAGTCTGCTCTGAGTTGGCCCAGTTTCCATTTGAGTCTTATTTTCCATTTAGGTTGTTTTTGCTGTTTTCGTTCTGGTGAGATGTCGTATCCCAATTCTCTCGTAGCTACCACTGCGGTACTGTACATAAGCTTGTTGGTTTCTGTTAGACTTTCGGTATGGATTGTATCTATTACTGTATTAATATCTCGAAGAATTCTGATTAAATCATTTCTTTTCGTCTTCTTCAGCGGAGGGAGTCTTATCCTTTCATTGTTGTTCTTGAGTTCTATTAGAATTTTGCTTCTGAGTTCTAACTGACTAGGTTTTAGGGTGTGAATAACTTCAGGGGTGTGGTCATTAGCTTCTGCGTTCTTAGTTGCCGCTACTTGTTCTTTGGGTTGTTCCTCTACCTGAGCTTCTTCCTCATTTCTTCCTTGGTGCGTTGGGTGTCTCGTTTTAATTCTTTCCACTTCTACTTCCGTAAACATTTTTGATTTTTTTAGATTTTGGAATTGGCCCGCGAATCTTCTTTATGGCACATCACATTCTGGGTACTTTTCTTTCCAAAGTTCGTACATGCGTTTCTGATATCCCCGTTTTTCTGGGTTCGCTCTGAAGTAACATCGATAGATTTCACGACACTGTTGCGTCGTCCACGTACGTCTTCTATCGTGAGTTTCTGGGAGGTCCGCCTGTAGCTCACTTTTCGCCTGCTGTCCAGGTGCCCCTCCTTCTCCGGCAGCAAGCGCGCTCCTTTTTAATCTGCGCGTCGAGCGATGCAGCATGGCATTTCCGTTATCTTGTCTCTCCATAGTTTAAATGGGTTGTTTTATATATATATATATATATATACATGCAATCCGCCTTTATCAAGACCGAAACGTACCACGCGCCATCATTACGAAGCCCGATTTGGTTTTAGGAACCCCGATTTCGGGCTTCGTAAAAACCGCCTGTATATATTTAATATAGGCATCAGGAAGGTCATCTCTATCGATAGCCGAAAATTGGTCGGGCTTCATAAAATCTTAAAATATATCAAAATATACACCTCTAGTACCCATGTATGTGACCTAGGGGGCGCGTAAGCGCGTAACAGACATATCAAGAGTATAAGAAGCCCGCTGTATATGTTTGATATATATTAAGAGTATAAGAAGCCCGCTATATCCGGCAACATCGTACCCTACCTAAACGAAAGATTTTAGATCTTTCTACTTAAGATTATCATTAGAAAATTAATGAAATAGTTTTTTTAGATGTTTATATTGAATTTAAAATAAATTTATTTTAGAAAATTATTTTAAGACTTACGATTTTTAATTACACTAAGAAAATATAAATGGAAGCTTTAAAAATATACAGTGTTATAATATAATAAATATAAAAAACGTAAATATACGTAAATCATATTTTATAATATTATTTTCTTTTAAATATACAGGGTGAGTTTCCTACGATGTTCTTTATGGGTATCTCGGAAACTACTGGAGCTAGAGTCGGTTAAATGGGGAAAGAATTGTAGTTTTGTGGGGTCATAAATATGCGCTTTTCGGATTTTTTTTCAGATTTTTTCAGAATTTTTAGAAGTTCATGGCTTGCTAGATATTTCGAAAAAAAAACAAATTTTGGCTATTTTAAAAATTATCCCTAATTCCATTATAATCTATTATAGACAAAAAGTTTTCAGATTAAAGTTGTAGATAATCACATCCTTAATGAGATTGTGTTCTCCGTTTTCTTCTAAAGCCTGTCATTTTTGACATATGATACAAACATATCTTTTTTTTTTTTTAAATGGAAACCATAGTTGGCCATGACTTCATAAAAGCGCCATTTTTTAAGCTTTTAGCGATATAAGCTGTAATATGTTTTTTTCGAAAATTACCGAGTTATAGCCAATTCTTATCATTTTTAAACAGTTTCACTTAGTTAGCCATGGAAACAAGTTCAATCGCCGTTGCTCTCAGAAATGTGAAGCTGTCACATCCAAACTTTGTAAATCAAAATGAACAAAAATTGTAAATATGAATTTTTCAAATGAAGAAAAGTGTGTAGATACTCGCGCATCAATAGAGTGGTTCCAACATGATTTTCATTATGACCCCCCCCCATAATGAAATAAATGTTAAAATTTATTTATATCATAATAATTATGCAAACTCAAGGATAGGTAGAGATGGACCAATTGCATGGGCCTCCTCGATCACCTCACCTAAAGTGCGAAACATTTTAAGTTGAACAGCGCGGCATCGGTAGGGGGGGTATGGCTGCAGTTGAATTTATCCGTAAATTGCCCAGTGGTTTGCATTGACCCGCATTCCTTTCGCTGTTCAATTTAAATGTGTCGAGTATTATCCATTTTAGATTTTGTATGCGGTATGGTTAAGAATAAGGTTTACAAAAAAGCTTATGAATTAAGAGAGGCACTCGAAGTGGCAGTACGAGAGAAGTTTAAATCGACCGGTCCTTCTGTGTGAAATAGGTAGTAATTCAGTTTTAAAAAATGCAACTCAAAACAAAGGCGGATTTTTGAACATTTCTAAAATAACTTAAAGTGTGTAGTGATATTATTTTTTAAGTTTTAGTTTGTGTAATGTAAATTGTAAAGAACCGTTTAATACTATTTTCTGACTTTTATAAGTGATAAATCATAACAGAATAAGGGTATCATGCAATCTAAGTGAAATTAACCAAGAAAGATCAGAATTGGCTATAACTAAATTTAAATTTTCTAACATGTCTTGAAAACCGTTCTCTAAAAATTCATTCACCTGTCAACGTATCCTCGAACCAATAATCCTACACGCTTTTCTTTATTTGAAAAATTGATATTTACAGTTTTTGTTTATTTTAATTTACAAAGTTTGGATGTGACAGTTTCACATTTCTGAGAGCAAAGGCGATTGAACTTGTTTCCATGACTAACTCAGTAAAATTGTTAAAAATTATAAGAATTGGCTATAACTCAGTAATTTTTCAAAAAAACATATTATAGCTTATATCGCTGAAAAGCTTAAAAAATGGCGCTTTTATGAAGTCATGGCCAACTATGGTTTCCATTTAAAAAACATATGTTTGTGTCATATGTCAAAAATGGCAAACTTTAGAAAAACGGAGGATACAATCTCATTAAGGATGTGATTATCTACAACTTTTATCTGAAAACGTTTAGTCTAAAATGGATTATAATGGAATTAGGGACAATTTTTAAATAGCCAAAATTTGTTCTTTCGAAATATCTAGTAAGCCATGAACTTTTTGAAAAATCTGCAAGGCGCATATTATTTATGATCCCACTAAACTTATTCTTTCCCCATTTCACCGACTCTCTATCTCCAGTAGTTTTCGAGATACCCATAGAGAACATCGTAGGAAACTCACCCTGTATTAATACATAGTACTTATTTGTATTTTTAAAAAATAATAAGTTTATTAACTTGTGACGTTTAGGACTTGCAGTTACAGCTTTAAAAATAAACAGTCTTTTACTTTAGATATTTTATTGAAAAATAAACTTAAAATCATATAAAACATCATATAAAATATACAGGGTTGTTCACCACATACGACACGGAGTATTGTAGCTAAACGATTAGATTTTTCGTTGAAGGACTATTAGAGATAAAATTTAAAAATATTTTTACAAGATACAGAGTGTCCCAAATATGTAAAAAATATTATAGTTGTATTTTTTAAATAGAACTCCCTGTATATTATTCTATTTTTAAATTCTACGATTGAAATAAAGGTAAATTTGATTAAGTTTTATCACACTTAAACCTTACTGTTTTTGCAATATTTTCAATTTTATGAAATTGCAGTAAAAATATTAAGGCTTCATTTCTCCAAGGGTACCAAAGTTTTTAATACTGAATATTTACTGAAGATTATTTATTGATCAGATATTGTGTTGCAATAATAAAAATTTTACTACCTTATACAGAGTGTCCAAAAATTTATATTAAATAATGACTAGCTTTAAACGGCAATGAATTTAAATGGAGCACCCTATATATTTTACGTGAATCAGATGCACAATGTAAACAATTACATTGTGCATCTATCAAATTGTATTATACCATTTTTTACCCATCTCTTCAAGTTTTCGTAGAAAATGCATTTTCTGATAATTTAAACCTCATTTATCACTATATCCATGTAATATAGACATTTTAGATTATTTTTAAAGATGTAACAAATTTTCAAAAGGTACAGATACTAATATTGTCCCCTATTTCATTAATTAAAAATTAATTGTCTTGTTATGAGCTTTCGAAAAATATATCCTATACTTGTTTCCATAAACAAGATACATTAATTAATTAAGTTTATGACATAGGCGGCTGATTTACATGAGATAATCAAAACAATCGAGTCGACGTAAAATTTTGGTTATTGTCTATTCTACGCTAGTTTCTGTGTGTGAAATTACGTATAGGACAAGTTCATAAAAATATCAATATCTCTGACTGACAGCGCGTTATCTGCGAGTGTGAGTCCAGTTTATTAAGATAACATGACGAAGAGCAAAATTCTCTGGTTCAATTAAATTAAATAAAATAATAATACTCTTAAATTAAGATTTACGTTAAAAAGTTAATTCTATTTAAAAACTGCAATTATACATTGAAATAAATTGTATCTACATAATGATAATTGTTATATAAAAAACCATATTAACTTACAATAATGGGCTAATATTGTATATGCAGCTAACTTAGCAATATTTTTTTAGTTATTAAAGAAGAAGGAAGAATTATCGAAATTATATATATATATATATATATATATATATATATATATATATATATATATATATATATATATATATATATATATATATATATATATATATATATATATATATATATATATATATATATATATATATATATTGTCAAGAGCAAGAATTTAAGTATTTATCATTAAAATAAATCACCCAGTATATTAAATAAAATATATTTCTATAAACATAATATTTGCACAATGAAAATTAAACTAGAACAAGTTGACGTCATACTAAGATCTGAAGGTGAACTTTGTTTAATTCTTATTGTTGTAAATATCAATATGGGAGAATAATTAAAAAGCAAATCAGAGGAGAGTCGAGGGCTCTCTCGGGGAGAACGAATGAAGAAGTCATGCTGTTCAGTTGAGTTGAGTTCTCCAAGTATCATAATGACAGTAAAGTAAGTTTATATTTTTTATATATTTTCTCTAAGTATATTTTATTGGTCAAAAGGTATTCTGCTTGACATTTCTCCTACCTAAATTAATGTATTTAATTCTTTAATAAATTTATATTTTGTTTTTATATATATTGATTGTTTTAATGATCTTCGATACCTAAAACGTCCCTAGCCGCAACCCCCTAAAACGGGGTCGCGAGATGTGGTGGAGGCGCCGGGTGGGGTTGTAATTTTTTTTTTCAATTAATTATTTTTACTTTTTTCACCACCATGTGGTGGAGGCGCCGGTCTCTCTT